ATAGGAATGATTGTTTTGTGAATCGCTATAGCGATTCGCAAAAAGTCACCGTCCTGAGGATTCATTGTACAGCGGGGTCATCGTCTAGTGGGGTCATCGTCTAGCAAGGTACCACTGTATTAACTATTCTTCCTAGCATAATATCATCCATAAATCTGACAAGCATTCCCTCTACTCCTTAAATATTAAGTCATTTATAAAGATGATGAATAACATGAGGCCTAGACTAGAACCTGTAGCACCAGTTGTCACTTCTTTTTGTTGGCAAAGAAGCACCACTGGCTATTCTCTGACTATGGCCCACCGACCAGCTACAAATCACTTAACACTAGCTATATTTCTCCAGCCTGGCTAGAAGGATGTCATGAGTGATCTTGCCAAAAGCCTAGGTGAAACCATGATACACTACATCCACATCAAAGTCTTCATATACCAAATTTGTAACTCTATCAACGAAGAGATTAGAATTAGTCTGCCATTATTTGTTTCTCAGAAACACATGCAGTCTCTATGATATTTCACACTTTCTAATTACCATATGGTTGTCTAATGCTCACAGACCAACTGTTTAATTATTTGTTCTGGAATGTTTCCTGACACCCAGGTCAAACTGACCAGTCAATACTGCCTCGATTCTATTTTTCCATGAGATTGAACACTGTTTTCATCTTGGTGGACACAGATACAAGGTAAGCATTTGGCAGTTCTGCTCTGTCGCCCACTACCTTTTTACCCATCATTTCCGTATACAAGTCCTACTATTTTCTGATCACCTCTACCCAAAGATTCCTATCTTCAGTTTCCTTTGTTCTGAAGATAATTCAAAATCTCCTTTGCCTTATTTTTACCTCTCTTGTAAGTCTGGGCTCACTCTGAACTTTAATCCTATTGATCCCTTTGATGTTCTCCCTATAAATACTGGCTACACATCTGTACTGTTAGTTGATTATTCACACCTTTTCCTTTTTCTATACATGCCTCTTTTAAATCTCAGTTCATTTGAAAGTTACTTACGCAGCAACTCTGACTTTCTTTAGATATCTCCCATCTCTCTTTCATGTGGGAATTGTATTTTATCAGTATTTCACCTTTAACAAACTCCAATCCGTTACAAGATATTGTATAAACTTCTTTGTGGGAAATTGGGGCCATAAGATCTCTCTCCTTAAGCTTACTTAAATCATCTTTCTTAAACTTTGGAGTTCACATTCCACTACTTTCAGCTTTCCTGTTCCTCATTATAATGAATCCAACAGGGCATGGTCATCTCCAAAGTTCCCACCACTTCTACCTTGTTGATAAAATCTTCCCTGTTACTGAATCCAGGTCTCTGTTTGTTTGTGAGGGCCAGATCCAGGATGGCTTCTCTCACCTTCTGGAAAATGAAGTTATAAGTAAGGCAAATAACAAATTCGTTGGACCTTACATTCCTGACAAACTTCCAACAGATGTCCAAGTAGCTGAAGTGTCCCATTACTGTTATTATCGAAGATACCATTTTAATCTCTAGCTTGCTTAGAAATCTACAGCAGAACCCCACAGTTTTGGCACTATCGTTTCTCTCTCATCTGATTTTTACTGAAATGTTCTCCATCAGCCTTCTATGCCACAAGTCAAGGGTCTCTCTATATCTGCACACAAACCCTCAAAACCTTGTATCTGTGTGTGTCTGAGAGAATTCTTACTTTATCCTAATAAAAAAATTGATAACTTATATATAACTTAATTAGACAACAAATTTCCTCCCAGTGCTAACAGAGAAAGAATTCTACACGGATTTTTCCTGACAATCATAATATCATATTGGATTTTTACACAGTGTGTGTCTGTCTGTGCATCCAGGCTGAGATAACAGCAAACAGAGTTCACCATGCTTTTGCAGCTGTGCAGAATATAAATGCACCCACACTCTCACAAACAATGCAAAAGTCATAATTAAAGAGACAAACATAGTAAAAGTTGTTCTTGTCATGAGCAAGTTGGATTACATACAAGGGTTAAGAATCAACTGCTCAATATTGCATTGTACAGGCTCCAAACCTCAAGCTCTGCTGAGAAATACTAGAAAGAATTATAAAACAATTTGGACTTATTTTGAATGGGCAAGGGACCATTATGAGAAGAAAATACACTCACCAACTCATGGTGAAGAATTTGCACGATAGCTTGCAAGAATAATTGCTTGGATCTGCTCTGACTTGGATGCTGTACACATCCTGTGAATGTAATGTTGGCCTCTGCTTGTCCTGTGTTAACAGATATGCTTCAGTTCTTACAGCCTGGGGATGTGGATGGTAACCTTGGAGAGATGAGAGCCATCACATGTGTGCTGGCCCTTTCTCCTTCTTGGTTTATGAAAACCACCAGGAGGGGGCATCCAAGTAGTTAGGAAGAGTGGTGAAGGACTCCCTATGGCAAAACAGGATCCCAGTGTGCTTAAAGGAGACAACAGGACAAGTGCTGCTGAAAAACCTCTCCATGAATTCCATAGCATTGGATAATTACTAGCCAGTCTCAAATGTTCCATTCCTGGGCAAGGGACCAGAGTATGTGTTGGCATCTCGGCTCCAAAAGTTCTTGGATAAAACTGATTATTTACATCCATCTCAGTCTGACTTCAGACTTGGCAAATGACCTGTGTGCCAGGAGCTGAACAAAGGGAAGTGCATCCCTGTTGGCTCTGCTGGACCTCTCAGTGGCTTCTGATAGCTCAACCGTGGTATCTTTTTGGGCTCTCTCTCTGGGATAGGATTTGGAGGCACTGTTCTACAGCGTTTCTAGTCTTCCTTGGAGGAGAGAACTTAGAAGATGATGCAGGGAGACTTCTGTTTAACACCCTTGCTGTTGTCCTGTGGTGCCCCCCACCCTGAGAGCAGGATACTCAATTTGCCAACCTTGGAACAATGTAAGGTTGAGACAACCTTTCAGATAGCTACATGAGTCCAGGAACGAACTTGGGTAGTAAGCAGAGTCTTCACTGCAATACAACACCATGGAGTTTTAGTTCTAAATTGATGTCTGGTGTCAGTAATGGACTGGATTAGGGTGAATAAAGTCCTAAATAACTTGAGTCCATGTTATCTGAAAGACCACATCTTCTTTTATGATCATGCCCAGGTTTTAAAATAATCAGAGAAGGCTTTTCTCTCACTCCTGCCATGCTCACTGGTGTGTTTTGTGCAGACATGAGAGAAGGCCTTGATGGAGGAGGGGGGGGGCAATGTTTAGCCTGCACAATTAAACTGTAAACTGGTCAGAGGGTACTTTAAGCACTATGGGGTGGTCTATAAGCAGCACACTTTTTTTTTGTGCCATCAAGTTGGAACCAATTTATAGTGAACCCAATATGGTTTTTTCAAGGTAAGCATCCTACCAATCACATATGTTGAGGGTCTTTACACCAAGGCTTTCCACCCACCAAGAATATAATTCCAAATACAGCACACTTGGTCAGCAAACTGTCACTTTATATTTACCTACAATTACTTCAGCTTTGGGGAGAACATGTATCTCCACATCATGTCTTGTTCAGACTCCTAGATCCTTTCTAAACATGCTGCTTCCAAGGGTACTGTTACCTATCTTATATTTGTGTACCTGATTTGTCCTACTTAAATGCAGAACTTCACAATTTTCCATGTTGAAACTCATTTCATTTGTTTTGACTCAGTTCTCCAAATTGTTAAGGCAATCTAGAATGCTGCTTCTGTTATCAATTCTGAATAATTAACTACTTCTCCAAATTTGGTATCATCTTCCAATTTTATGAGCTCCAAATGCTCAAGCTAAGGTGTTTATAAAGATATTATTTAAGCTGTTTTGAGTCCTTTTAAGAATAACTAACTAGCTAGCTAATTAACTAGCTACCTAGTTAGCTAGCATAGGTATTAGGACAGAATTTACGTGACACCCAACTTGTCACTTCTTTTCATGATGACAAAGAACTTTGCTGAGCAATCTTTGGGCATAGCCTATCCACCAGCTACAAATTTAAGAGGAGTAATTCAGCCCACATTTTACCAGCTTGGCCAGAAGAATAAAATGCCAGAAACCTTGCTGAAATCAAGATACAGTACACTACATCCACAGCATTACCCTTATCTACCAAGCTTGTGACTCTGTCTAAAGAAATACTGGCTGTTAGGCCTGTGCTTGCTCAGAGACAGCCCTGTAGCTTTAAACAAGCACTTAGTAGCAATAAAAAACTGGATAACAAGGATACTAACACAGGAAGTAAACCTGGCTATAAACCTAAAAGCCTACTCAGTCTACATATCTATGTTGGCAGCAATATTACAGGTAACATGGATGGGACTTCCCAGTTTTTGGATTGCAGCTCTCAGAATTTGCCCAGAATTCCCCCAGACAGGATTCTGGGAGCTCTAGTAAAAAAAATAAAATAATAAAAACTCTACAGAGTAGCTTTCATAATCTACGTGCAAGCCTTGTCACCACTATCTGCCTCTGAAAAAGAAGAAAACTGTCCTAATAGAGCCTGGGAGCATCAAGGCATTCATGGGATGGGTAGTTCTTTGAAAAATTATCTATCACCAGAAGCTCATATTGGGCCAGAGTTTTTTATTTATTCTAGATGTGTCAACTGATATACTTAGTGCCAAGCACTTTGTGGCATGAGCATGAGTTTGTGAATGGCCAGTGCTAATGAGATAGTTGTCACCATCAGTACTTTCTGCAATTAATTTCTTCCTGACCCTTTTGTTTACAGTCCCACTCCCAAACAGATGAACTGCACACAGACCCAAAGTTCTAGATAACAGTCAGTGAAACTGAAGTACATATTAATGCCTAATATTTCATGCTCTAATACATTTCTTGATCTTTAAGGTGTCACAGGCACTATTTCTATCTTTTCCTTACAAAACGCAATTGTTTCTCTCTTTTTTGCTATTGCCCTCAAAATTCTGTTGCTCTTTTCTTCCTCCATTTAGTTAGCTGAAAAGTTAGATAAACAGTGTACACCAGGGATCTGTATTCCTTACCTGTGAGACTGTAATGCCACATTTCTTAGCTAGTTCCTCTTTGGCTTCCTCACTGGGATAAGGGTTGCTGAGGTGGGAATAGAAATATTCATTGAGGATTTCAGTAGCCTGCTTATTGAAATTTCTTCTTTTCCGCCTGGAAAGGAAAAAAAATGAAGAAGAACATTCATTGGTCAAGAGCAGTATTTCAAAAGCAATACCCATTCAAGCTGAATTATTCTCAAGACAAGGAAAATACTTAAATGGGTTCTTGAGACTTTCCCATGTAAACAAGCTAAATGCTGCAGGTGGATTTGTGAAGCTTTCTCTCAGTGTTTTTCCAAGAAGAAAACACCTGATAAAAGTTACTTTCTAGGTGGCCACCAAGAGGAGACTTTTACCCATCACATTCTACTAGGCAAGTGGGTAGCATAATGTCTAGGATAAAGCTCACCGTGCATCAAGAAATCGGGAGCGCAGGATCATAACAGCTTCACATGTGCTCTGTTTAAGTTGCATCTGAATAGAGCTGAACTTGCGATGGATGATGCTGACCATTCGCTCTATCTCCTTGGGTGAGATGGGCCGGGTCCTGCTTTGCTCCCGTAGCAAGTTCATTACGTGAGTTGTGAACTCGTTGCATGCCTGGGACAACAAGGGGAAGAACAAAAAGAAACTTTAGGACCTGAGTAGTACCTAAAGAGTATGCAGGATGCCATAGTGTGAGTAATCTGCTTTGTCATTTCATCCTAGTTTCTACTTCTGCTCCATAGATTTCCACAGATACCCACTGAAACAATGAAAAATATGTCAGATACAGTACTTACGATGACCATAAGTCAGCCAACAAGATTATATAGTCTTTGCAACCAAAACAAAGCAGACTAAAAAATTCCTTATCTAGTTAGTGTAGTGATTTAGTGATCTGTTTCCTTTTCACACATGCTGCTACACAAAATTTTGCAACCTTGGCTGTGGTTTCCTTTGCGTAGCCAGAAAAGAGAAGAGAAGTATTTGTTGGTCTACTTAGGTAATGCTTTAAAAATTAGGAAAATGAGTAGATTGCAAGTCTGTAAAATGTGCAATACAGCAGGGCATGTTCCACAGTTTCTACCATGCCAGACTGGCAAAGGCAGAAATTTGGTCATAAGGGATATGTAATGATATTCACTCTAAAAAGACTAAAAGCTGAGTACTGAAATAGGCCTAGGTAAAAACCCTCTACTGTCTAGCGAGTTATAAATGATAAAAGGCAATCTGGTCTTGCTGTGAATTCCAGCCACTAAGCAATGTGGAACATATGCTCTATCAAGTTGGAAGGCTGTATCCCAGATTAATTTCCTAATAATGTCTTTAGTAATAATTGTGTGCCATGAAGTGAATTTTGACTAATGCAACCCTTTTCAGGGTTTTCTAGATAGAGAGCACTTTGAGATTACTCAGAAGCGGTTTACCGTTAAATTCCTTTGAGGGCATCCTGGGATTGTGCAGCTTACCTATGGCCACTCAGGTTGAATCTTTTGGGATGTACAGTGAGGAACTGAACTTGCAACCTCCACTCACTTAGCTATCACCCAGCTATCAGAAATCCCAGATGTAACAGGGCTGGAGAGAATAACCCATAGAACAACAATGTTCCCTCCACTGCTTTTACCCCAAAGTATCCGATATTGCTTTTCAGATGCACGGTGGAGTGTGTACCTGAATGTAAACTACTCCAATATTTGCCTTAGAGAATAGCTTGAGCAACACACAAAACTAAGAATGTCTGGGTCTGGTGCCTGGATGGGAGATAACCTGGAAAAAACACCTTGAATTCTATAAAGAAATAAAACCAGACTATAAATATTTAATTTTTCATAGGATCTGATATTCCATGAACTCATTTAAATGAATAGACTATTGTTTTTAGTGGTATACATATACAGACACACATGTAAATGCATATTCCATGAAGATTTTTCAACCTCCAAAGAGCTTGTGGTTTTTCCATGATAAAATGAAACTGGATATACTAAACATCAAGTGAATCTAGGACTGGAGCTATAATATGCAGGATAGAAACTGAACATGCTGGGTTAATGTGACATCTCCTTTATATATCCTTTACAGATAAGAAGATCTAGCACCCTTTGATTAGCAAGAAATGTGGATGCCTATGGAGAAAGAAAAAGGAACTGAAGTGTGACAACTGAGTGAATAGTTCTATTTTATTCATGCTTCTCTTAACTATTTACATATAACATAATGACACCCTTGCCTTCATTTTATAGCCTGGACTGACGATATTTCTGAACAAGTACTGCAATACACCTCCTGTAAATTTTAGTGGCAGCATTAATAGAGGCATATCTAGTGAGAAAAAATTGGTAGGCAGGGAAGTCAAGGATACAAAAATAACTTTTGCTACTTAATATGTAAACAAAAATAAAACATGTAAGTACTCTGTTCTGTGGATACAGTGGTAAAAAGTATTGCTCCTGTGACTCTGGTTTGGCTCTGACTAAAAGACAGAGAAAAAATACATGATATGTATGATCTCCCCCCCCCCCCCCGCCCGCCCGTCTACACCACATCAAACCAGTCCAGTGTTAGGCATTCCAACTTGAGCTCTGACTAGTCAGGTTCCAATCAGACTAACAACTTCTCCATCTTGAAAATATTTTCCAATAATGCAAGCAGCCTACACTGCAGAAAACCAGCACTAAAGCACAAGCATATGAGGGAAGATAATCACCATGGAGTGCCACAAGGCACATCTGTTAACAGGTCACATTTATGTAGCACAAGCTCAATTAATACTTTAAGGCCTTCTATTGTGAACAAACTCTCTAAAGCTGGGGTAGGGGGGCACAGCCCTACAATCTCCATGGGATACTCTGTTTTATTTGTGGTATCTTTCAGCTCTTCAGATGCTGCAGACCCATTGTTGCTTTGCAGATCACCCCTCTGGGAATCCGTTTTGTTCTGTGTGGGAGATGGAGATGAAACAGGACTGATGGAAGGAGTAGCTCCTCTGTAATGAATAATTTTAGACTCATATCAATGGATAATGGTATATTACCTGCAGTGGTGCAGGTAATACATGAAGATATAACTTTGGGGAGTAACTATTAGCCTGGAACTTAGAAGATGAAGCAATGTCACAAAATCCCACTGCACATTTGTGTGCGACTGTAGAAGGAACTGTTCCTTTTAAGAAGCAATAGATGCTGTTGAAATTTGGAAGCAAATGGCTGAAATCTAGCAGGTTAACTTATGCAGCAGTTTTTTCAGAGATTAAAAATTTCCAATTTTCCCCTGAACGTTCCGAGGCTCCCCTTGGGTCCATTTCATAATGGGGAAGCCACTGTGGCACATGGGGGGTGGGTGGGGAGAGATCTTTAAACAAATATGTTGAGGATAGTACTTGTGTTCCAGTCATTTTTAATGCTTGCAGTCATCAATTAACTCTGTCATTGTGCATTTCCCTGTTTTAGGTCTCTCAATGGCTTGAAATCCTGTTTGTGCATCTACACCACTTAAGGCTGAAGATGTCAACAGCAACAGTGATTTCTTTCATTTTTTAAATAAAACATTTCCTGTTTGTACCTTCAAGGTCCCAAGGCTCAGATGGAATCAATTCCATCAGTGACAAGCTATTGGGGGCTTCAGGGAAGGAAGGGATTTAATTTCTTAAATTAACTGTAGCCCAGAAGGCTTTCCCAGCAGCAGTGATTTTCTGAGAGAAAGCTTCACGAATCCATCTGCAGCATTTAGCTTGTTTACATGGGAAAGTCTCAAGAACCCATTTAAGTATTTTCCTTGTCTTGAGAATAATTCAGCTTGAATAGGTATTGCTTTTGAAATGTTGCTCTTGAGTAATGAATGCTTTTTTAAAATCCAGCAAATGTGTGTGGCTACACTCAGCTTTGATTTCCTTTGAAATCAAGAATTCTAGAAGGACATGGTCACTCTCGCCCAGAGTTCCCTTTACTGCCACTTCCTCCACCAAGTCATCTCTATTGGTTCGAATCAAGTAAAGGATAGCTAGTCCTCTAGTTTCCTTCTCCAGATTTCGTAGGAGAAAATTATCAGCAACACAAGCCAGGAATTTCTCGGAAGGACCATTCTTTGCAGAATTTGCCTCCCAACATATATGAGAATAACTGACATCTCCCATCACTATTACACTGTGTCTCTTTAAGATCCTTGCAATTTGTTTCTCAAAACTTTCATCTGCTTCCTCTTCTTGATTGGGCGGCCAGTAGTAGACTCCAGCTACCATGGTCCTTCTGTTTTTTGCCCCAATATATATACTGCAATTCCACCTCCCTTTCTATTCTCTCTCTTTCTTTTGAACAATTTATATGCTTCAATTGCTGTATTCCAGTTGTGGGAGTCATCCCTCCAAGTTTATTATTCCTATCAGGTCGTATTTGCCCTCCTGCCATTTGTATATAGACACCGGAGATTGCGTAATTTGTAGCCTGTTTGACTTTATACATTTGTATGAATATTACTATTAATGTTAATGTTATTATTGACCCCCATCTGAATAGCATGTTCTGTTCCTCTGATTGTAAGGCTTCATCTATCTTTAACTCTGCAGCGTGTTCTGTTCCTCTGATTGTGAGTAAGGCTTTATCTATCTTTAACTCTGTGCTTGCATCTCCTTCCCCGTTCGAATTCAGTTTAAAGCCCTTCTAATGAAGTTCTTCATGCAGTGGCCAAACATATTCTTCCCACTCCTTGTTAGGTGCAATCCATCTCTTGCTAGCAGTCTTTCTTCCAGGAAGCTTAGCCCTGGTCCCAAAAACAAATCCCTCAAATCGACACCACCTTCATAGCCAGTCATTCACTTGGAGTATTTCCCTTTCCCTTTCTATTCCTCTTCTGAGTACTGGTAGGATGGAGAAAAAAACTATCTGGGCCCAAAAGTCCTTGAGTTTCTTTCCCAAAGCTTCAAAGTCTGACATGATTTCTTCATGTCAGCTGCTCTTGGCTGTGTCATTTGTTCCCACGTGGACAATAAAAGATATGGATCTGTGGGTTTTATAAGTGATGGCAGTCCTTTTCCCACGTGGACAATAAAAGATATGAATCTGTGGGTTTTATGAGTGATGGCAGTCCTTCCGTCACATCCCTTATCTGGCCTCCAGGGAGACAGCATACCTGGCAAGTCCATGGATCTTCCCAGCATATTTCAACCTCACTTCCACAAAGTAGGGAGTCTCCCACTACAACCACTCTTCTTCTTTTTGTAGGGTGCAGGTTCAGTGACTGTATTTTGCTGTGTTTCAGCCCTTCTCATGTCCTTCTTTGGGGTCTCCTCTGCGTGCTGTCCAGCAGACTCCTCTTCAAGAATTTGAAAGTGGTTTTGCAATTCCACTGGTGAAGAATTTCTTCTTCTTTTGCTCCTATGACCTTTTCCATGATGGTTCCTCCACTATGTCTGTACTCCCCTCAGCTCTCTCCTCCACTGCTTTGCTTTGGTTTTCTTCCATCTCCAATGCCCCCTGTGACAGCTGCTGCTGCTGCTCAAGAGTTCTGTCAATGTGTGCTTCATCTTCCCTTATAGCTTTGAGTGTGGCTACTTGCTGCTCCAGTTCTCACACTTTTTCTTCTAATAGTGCCACTAGTTTGCACTTGTTACATGTGTATGACATGTTACACTCAATAACAAAGATAAACAGCACAAACTTTGCAGGTTGCTACAAATGAATTGCCTCCAATGTTCATAATCCCTGTTAGTTTTTTACTTTCAACTGATTGTTTATGAATGCCTCTCCCTTTTATGCAGGTTGCATGAATTGCCTCCAATGTTCATAATCCCTGTTAGTTTTTTACTTTCAACTGATTGTTTATGAATGCCTCTCCCTTTTACGAATATATAACTATATCCAAAATAAATTTTTTTTGTTAGGGGCCTCCCCCGGGGAAAGTCCTGTTTGCTCTGGTTGCGAGCTCCCTGTGTTTGCCTCAGCTTTATTTCGTAGCTGTGTTCTGTTTGAAGTCAGGAACAACAACAACAACAACAACAACAACAGCAACAACAACAATATTTATTTCTTGCTGGAGAAACAAATTATAAGCACATAAAATCATTATGTGTAGAAAAATGACATGAATATAATTTATACAGAATTGTACTTTATTAAACATAAGTTGGGTGGAGAAAAAGGGAACATATTATATTCATATAATTATAATTAATAAGAAGGCTATAGCTGCATTTCACTTACAAGCCTTGTTATATTGAGCTTAATAGTTGAAACTATGATTCTGAGGTCTGACTCTTATTTCAAACAGTTTCTATACTTCTTTTAAAGATAAATAAGAGCAGAAAATGATTTTTTTTGCACAAGTATGACATTACGAAAGGCATAAATATAGCACTCTTCGATAGTTCCAGAAAATCTGCTTGCAGGTAAGTCCAGAAATTTAGAAGGGACTGTTCCTTGAACTGCAATTTCAGAGCACCATCCGTGTATATTTCTAGGAGCTTGTTTTCCTCTGCTATGAGCCCCTCTAGTTCATACACATTAACTGAAAATGGATCTCTAATCCACTTTTTGCTTGAATCAGGAACAGGAAAATATCCACAGAAACTATGTTGCAAATCTCCCAAATGTTGTGTGATACATGATGAGTCCTCCTTAGAAAACTCTTCGCTATTGGAACCAAGAAACTTTGTGATGTCTGGAAATGTCTCATAGTTTTGGTTTGATAGGCAATGATGCCACAATTATAACTTTTTGATTATTGCTTCGATCTTGCCTTCAACTTGAAAAGCTGTAACTATTTCTCCTTGAAGATTTAAGTTGAGCATATTTAAATGGGTGGAGATATATGATATGCTGTTTTGACTAACCAAGAAAAATCTGTCAAACTATCATGGAGGTGAAATTGCTTCTCCAATAGACTTCCCTCATCTCTCAATTCCCAAAAAGAGATAAAAATACCTCATGATAGCCAAAAAACTTCACAGTGTAGCAAAAGTTGGTGGTGTTCACTGTCTTTGCAAAGTTGTTCAGAAGGTCTTGAATTCAGTGATTTGCTTTTTATAATATTGACAATTTTAACTGATTCATTTAAGGTCTGCTTTAGTTTTTCTGGTATCTTCCTAGCAACCAGAACTTCCCCATGTATGAAGTAATGGCACCAAGTCACTGTTATGCTTTCCTTAATCTGTTCAGTAAGATTTCCAGACATTGCTCATGCCTTATTTGTGCTAATTTTGATAATTTCAACCAATTCATGTCATGAGATATTATAAACTTATTTAAGCTGTTAAATACTTCTTCAGCTGTAGAATGTAAGCACAAGGAGATGAACAGTACATCTTCAAAAACATTTCCCTTTTACTCATATCTAATGTAGCACAATAAGGTCACTTCATCTGTTATGTCTGTGCTTTCATCCAATTCCAATGCAAAAAGTAGGGCAACGTGAATTATTTCTAATACAGTAATTGTTTCTTGATATTGGCTGACAAACCGTTAATTCACTTCTTAACTGTGTCAATTGACAAAGGTTTTAAGGAAAGATTCTTGGCAGCTTTCTCGTTGATCAATGCAGAAGCCATGATTTTCGCAGGTGATATAATTTCTTCAGCTATTATGTGACGTTTTCCAGTTTTTGCTATTAGTTGAGAAACTTCAAATGAGGCCCTCACCACATTTTCATTGTTATAACTAGTTGTAGTCTTCTGCTCCCCGCCCCATATTTTTAATTTCCTGAAGTTCATGCTCATCACTTTTGAAAAAAAAATTGATGCTCTTTGACTCATGTTCATTATGTTTAGTATTGAGATGTCTTCACAACTTTGATGGTTTCACAGCTTCTTTGGACAATATCTCGTAACACAACACAAACTGTGGTGGTTGCTTATCTTCAGGACCTGTACACGTGAAGCCAATTAACAGATATTCCAGCCAGTGATCATTCTGAGGCTCAGCCAAAATGTATTGTTATCAAATTCACTGCAATAATATCAAAAAGTCACTTTACTTAGCATCATTCACTTGAATGTTCTCACCGTGCACAGAAATATTAAACAGTCATTGTTGGTGTTTAACTGTTTAGTTGTGTCCGACTCTTCGTGACCCCATGGACCAGAGCACGCCAGGCCCTCTTATCTTCCACTGCCTCCTGGAGTTTGGTCAAATTCATGTTGGTAGCTGCGATGGCACTGTCCAACCATCTCGTCCTCTGTCATCCCCTTCTCCTCTTGCCCTCACACTTTCCCAACATCAGGGCCTTTTCCAGAGAGTCTTCTCTTCTCATGAGATGGCCAAAGTATTGGAGCCTCAGCTTCAGGATCTGTCCTTCCAGTGAGCACTCAGGGTTGATTTCCTTTAGAATGTATAGGTTTGTTCACCTTGCAGTCCAGGGGACTCTCAAAAGTCTCCTCCAGCACCACAATTCAAAAGCATCAATTCTTTGGCGGTCAGCCTTCTTTATGGTCCAGCTCTCACTTACATACATCACTACTGGAAAAACTAAAGCTTTGACTATGCGGGCCTTTGTTGGCAAGGTGATGTCTCTCTCTCTCTTTGCTTTTTTCCTATTTTTTATTAAACAGTTACTTGCTATCAAACAGTTATTTGTGTAACCAATTTTACTTCTGTTTGTTTTTAATGGAGGTAGTAGGTTAGAAAAGCCAAGTTTTACAAAAAAAACCCCAGAAGACATTAAGAATTTGTTCTTTCGTTCTTTCTTTCTTTCTTTCTTTCTTTCTTGCTTTCTTTCTTTCTTTCTTTCTTTCTTTCTCTCTTTCTTTCTTTCTTTCAATTTTAACTGCAAAAGATCATAATATTTCTTTAAGCCTTCACAGACCCCTTGTGATCATATTGAGGGCCCCTGGGGGGCCAGGGACCACCAGTTAAGAACCTAGGCAATACATCATTGAAGGGAAGTTTGAAAGTAAACATGGAAGAGGTAAGGCAGAGCTTTTGGAGAAATAACATCACGGACTTGCTGGACTTTAATAAAGAACAACTAATCCCCACAGTGAGAGACGGTTGGAGATGGTAGTCAACCTCAGGAACTGAGATGGCACCCAGAGAGACAAGAGTGTGAAGCCTTTTCAAAAAATTTACATAAGACAGCTTGCCTTAAGAGAATTTTCTCATAAAATCTTCCTCCAAGCTGTCAATTTGTCCCACTTTTAAACCAAGGACTCAAAGGTGACACGCATGGGGTTATCCCATTATCTCTTCATGACAGCCCTGTGGTCTTAGCTGAAATGACTGTGATGATGTAAGATCATATACTGTGTCATGACTGAGTAGAAATTTAAATTAATGTCTCCAATTAAAGCTTGCTTTTCTTCTCATTTTGCAGATGAAAGGCAGTATCTGAGCCCAAGGGACACCTGGTGCCCAGCTTGTATCTTCAGCAGATTCAAGCCAAGAAGCTTTCCTGCACTACTTCAGCTCCAAGTTGGTCAGGAGAGATTATGTACTGGAATGCCTTACATTTGGGTGGACTAAGTGGACAGGCCACATATGGGCTGCGGGGCATTTTTAATCCTCCAGGGTCATCCCAGAAAAAAACAAAAGAAAAATAAAACAAAATGTTTTGACTATTCTTGCCAAGAAAAGAGTTGGGGGAGAAAAAAGACCCTAAAAGCAGTAGCTGTCTAATCCTGGGCCTAAGGGAGATATCCCCTAAAACTACCCCCACTAAAATCCAACAAGAGATTTATCACTTCATTCTGCTGAGTTTATGAATAAGGTGGGACTAGAGCTCTTGGTTAACTCTGTTTTTGAAGGCAACTTAACACTGGCCCCTACCAAGTGCAAAAAAAACCTACCACACGCATAAGAGTAGTACCTGTTCATATTTCTCCAACTCAGTGTGGTAGATCTGTCGAATTTGAGAGAGTTTTGCTCTGTAGTCAGAATGTTCTACAGAATTGTCTGATCCGGCTCCCCCAGATGCTGCTGCTGCTGCCGCTGCTGCTGCTGATCCCCCTCCTTTTTCAGGTCCTGCTACCCCTTCTGCTAAAAGCATGTTGTCCAGTCGCATTAGCTGTGGGTCTGTTGGTTCCTCCTCCTGAGCCCCTCGAATACTCAGCACTGTAAGAAGATTAAAAGGTGAAATGCACAAATTAAAATACGGAATTAAAATATGGAATGATAGGATCAACTTCTTAAGAATCTAGATCAGTGGTTCTCAACCTTTTTTGAGTTGTGACCCCCTTTGACAATAGGCAAATAACTTGTGCCCATCACATTTGTTTAAAAAGGCATGTTTATGGGGTAAAGAAACCAGAGTAACACTATTTTTTTTCCAGTAGACAATTTTAACCTAATATTCAATGTGATAGTTGTACCTGCATCTGGACAACCAGATACAAAATTCATGACTGAGTGTTTGTCAAAACCAACCTCATGCCATTCTCAACATTCAGTCTGGTTTTTGTTTTACTTTGTTTTGATATGAAGAATCGTTGAAAATCCACTCTCACAGAGATATACAGAAGCAAATGGAAGTAAAACTTGAAAGGCAAGGATGATGACATTTGGATTTGACTGATGCACAGCACTGCAGAACTGAGTCAGCTATTTTTAAAACAAATTATATGCTATGGAATCATGCTGAAGATCTAAGAATTCAGCCTGCACTTCATTGGGGATGCTAGCTATCTTCAAGGAAGCAGAGAATGGGTTTTGTACTAGTGCAACTTCTTCTTCTGAAAGCTCAGGTGGGCCATTTGTTTTTGTGTCTTCCTCCTCCTCTTCTTCTTCCTCTTCCTCCTCCTTTTCCTCCCCTTCTTTAGGCTCTCTGGAAGTGACGACTCTTAGTTAAATTCCCTTTCTTGCTGAAGCGCCATCTATCCACTGGCATTTTTGGGTGTGTACGTGTGTTTAAAAATAATCTCTTCTAAGAAGGTAGAAGCATCTTTCAACAATGAGTACAACACATATAAGACAATAGAAAACCCTCAGAAAATACTTCATGACCTCCTTGGGGGGTCATGACCCCAAGGCTGGGAAACACTGATCTAGATCTACGTTTCAGTGTTGTACTTGTAGTACTTTTACAAAGGCAAACTTATTTATATGTTTTTGAAGTTGTTGCTCTGTTAGTCTGTGCAAGTATTAAAATAGGAAACACAAAACAAAACAAAAGCAAAAGGGGGGGGAGAGAAATACATTTCAGCACCTTAAAGACTAACTGCAATATTTTAATATAAACTACATGAATGTTTTGCCATATAGTCTCTGTATTATAACTCTTATGTCCAATGAAGTGGACATATTCCACAAAAGGTTACATTAAAATATGGCACTTAGTCTTTAAAATGCCAAAGTCTTTTGTTTTGTTTTGTTTTAGGTTTCTTTTGGCTTTTTTCATGTTGAAATTATATGTGTACATTTCAATTTATGTGCCACATAAATTTATAGCACACCAGGTAGCTAAGCTCAGTGCGATTCAAATAACAACAAATGGAACTGAAATTGAAATACAGACACAGTTTTAGAACATTTTAAAATACTTTAATTAAAAACAACAATCCATTTTAAGTAAGGATTCAGGTTAAATGTCAAGAGCTTGAATAAAAATGCCTTTGTTGCGACAGGATAACAGAGAAGGCAAAGCTTCAAGTGACTCTACCTACAAGGAAAATACGTATGCAATAATGAAGTAGAGCAGACATCATGTACAGTAGCTCCACCTTCAAAACTCACATGCTGAGAAAGCAACAGAACCATCATAAAAGTCAAAGTCCCATCCAAGACATGCATCTTAGAAGGAAATGTTCAACAGTATTATAAATTGCCTAGAAGTTCAACAAGACCAGCAAGGACCCACTCCCCGTCTAGTTCATAACACAGATCTTCCACCTAAGATTTCTGTTCCACTACCAATCCTGAAATTAGATTAAAATGGATTTGGATAATATAATTTAGCCAGAAATCCCTGTACATGAGACACCTTTCGCATGTGTGGTTTCAAGCTTCATCTCTGGTAGCACATGGCTGGAATTCTCTCCCTCCAGGAAACTTGAGTTTCAAAAGCAAGCACTGTGTGTGTGAGAGAGTGGGTGGGTACATGCAGATTCCATCCAAATCCTACCAGGGAGCAAGCTTGAAACCATACAACACAAAGTCTATTTGCAGCCAGTGTTTTAACTAAGTAGACACAACCACCTGCCATAACTTTTTGGGACTCTCATTTATAATTTGTTTGACTAGGCAGTCCTTTTCCTCCAACATTCATAAGTCTTACAAGCTGAACTACTGGGACCTGGATGGTTCTTATGGTACTTTTTGTAGATTTCAATGTTTCTGCAGTTTTTTATTATTCTTTCCAAATTAATTTTATCTTGCTGCAATACCACAAGATCAGCAATGTTTTCAGAATGCGTATATCTCAGTCCATGGCAGAGAATTCTTTCATCATAATCACTCCGAAATTCTCTACCACTTTTTGAGATACCTTGGAATCTACTGATGTATTCTATTGCAAATTAATCACTACCCAAACATAAGAGCACACAGAGTAATTTTGAGCTGTAAAAAGTGGGTCTGATTTCTGACTGGTCCATTTCAAAGGAGAGGGTAAAATTCTTTTTCCAGACTAGAACTACTTCTGTGAGTTAGTTGATAACAGAAAAGATGAAAAATGTTTTAAAGTTGCTTTCTGTTGCCAGACTTGGTTGTTCTGTACCAATTCACTGGATCCCCAACAACCCAATTTTGTTTCATTGTTATTTTGTTTTCTGTATTCAGAACTTGAAAGAAAAGAAAAATACTATTATTTTTTAATCTCTACAACAAAATAGATGTGGGGGGGAGGTCAGTCCCACAAAAAACCAGAAGACACAATTTATTTCAGTGTCAGAAAGAGGTCTGTTTCTTAGAGGTGAGTTCATAAAATGGAAAACAAACCTATGGAGAACAAAAATAACAAGCCATGCTGAATGGATGGATGCTGAAGAGTGCCTCCAACCAGGACAAGACTCTAGTCTAGCTGGACCATCTGGAAATCACTTAATAGAATTCTAAGCAAGGTAGGAAGATGAAAGAATAATCAAGTAAAATTAAGTTATATAGATACAGGACAATTTTTCTATGACTGCAGATAAGTTAAATCAATGCAGCACTTATGCACATGCACTTTATGCCCCATCACATGTACAAAAGAAGACCTAGCAAATGGAATGCTGAGTCAGCCTTGAGTTAGCTATATGAAATTATTGGGATTAAACTCATGTTGTGAGCTGAGTCTGGAGTGCAGTACTGGAGTTTAACCACTGCACCACGAACTCATGTTGTGAGCTGAGGCTGGAGTGTAGTACTGGAGTTTAACCACTGCACCACAGGACTCACTAGGCTACAGAAGTGCTAAGAGGCAATTCTTGGAGGATCCCTGGGCCACAGAGAGATCATACTGGCTGCTCTTTGTGATGCTTGCATGTGCTGGTCTCAAGATTGGCAATATATAGCTTCTTCTTTCAGTAGCACCACCTTCAGAAACGGACACTTGGTGCCAGTGAGAGATGTATGGTAATCACTCTACACATCCTCCTGATTTACCACTTTTGAGGTAAATATGAAGGAATCCATCATCATAACATCTGGAGGAAGGCCTGGCTTTTCAGCATTTGGTAGACATATTTAAACAATAGCTTACCCCTACAGCTGAGAAGAGAGCTACAGAGAAGGGTAACATGAAAGAATGCTACAATTCTTATCCTATTTTTTTCTTGTTTTCCCCCCAGCTCAGTAACTGCAGGATCCATTGTAGTTTTATATCTCTTTTTCTGTGACATACAGTAGTTGACAATGAAGTGTTTGAAATCAATACAGAACAGGAGAATGTGGACAGTACCAAATTTGTCAGTATGATGACAGTTGATGCCATTGGAGTAGGATGCAACAACAATAACTTTATTGTTTCTGACCAAAGGCCTTTACAATATATAAGAAAAAATCCCAAATTTAAAAACAGATTATTATAATAACTCCTTGAGATGCTTATTATCAGTCCAGTCATAACACTCTTCAAAACAAACCCACCAGTCTGGAGTCACTGATCATACTGATGATAATTATACAACACTGTGATCCTTAACATAACAAGAACACAGTTTCTTGGCTGCCAGTGCAAACTGCTACAGCATATGTGGTAAATACAGTAACTGTTTGTCAGCGGGCAATCCTAACTGAAGTATAGTTGCCACACATATGGATGATAGGTGACATGAATCTTTCTCTAGGATCCACATAAAGGGGACAGAATAATAAACAATGAATTATATCTTCAATCTGATTACAGCCCAAAACATATTTGTGTTCAATATCTGTAAGTTTCTCAGTATTACCCTTCAATTGTGAAAAGGGCATCTGTTGGAATCTAAGTTCGATAAAAGTTCAATGGAACTGTGGGAAAGTCAGTGCTTCAAAACATATGTCCTTGCATGATTAACTTGAAGTTGAGGATTATGACCCGATAATAGCAGCCCTGTCTAGGCTAGCATCAGAATCAAAGATCCAATTGCTAAAAGCATGAAACTACTATCTTGTCTTTTGGTTAGCCATATCAACTGTAAACTGTGCACTATACATCTTACTTGAACCAATTCAATTCTGACTCTCAGCTCAACTGTGTTTAAACCAATCTAAGCTATCAAACAGCTGACATGAATAAAACAAACCACCCTGCTTCTACAGTAATGTGGAACTTGAAGCTAGAGCAAAAAGAACCCCCATCTCCTGAAAATATGACTATTTAATAAAATCAAAGAAAATGCAAACAATTTCTGTGAATAAAACAGCCAAACAAATCCACAGCCTGCCCTCTTATGGAACACATGAAAAGCAGTGTTCAAAAGACTGATTTTTTAAAAAAGATGGCTCTTATATTAAAAGAATAAGAGGAAAATACAGTTATTCTCATTCGGACCAATAGAAATTTTAATATTTTTAAGTAATTACAAAGGAAATAAAAATTCTGCCACAATTACCGTATTTTTCGCTCCATAAGACACACCTTTCCATAAGACGCACCAATTTTTTAGGAGAAGAAAACAGGAAAATATAATCTGTTTTCTTCGCTCCATAAGATG